ATTTCTTGCCCCGTGAATTCCGATGCTTTTAGAATACACACTTTTGTAAAATATGGGGTGCAGTAGAGGTGACTCTGAAAAAGAATTTGTTCAAGAATATGAGAAATTAAGTAAGCATTTTGCTGCCTAAAAAATGGAGAACTTGTTAAACTTTATGTGCTTAAGACTGAGAACTTTGCTCAAATTTTATAAATATCATTCATTATGACATTGCCATTTAAACAGAGTCAGCCACAAAATCTCGACTAGAACTTATAAAACAAAAAGCTTTAGAATTTGTTGAAGAGCTAAAAATGAAAGCAGAAGAGACTTATAAAGAGATGGAAAAGTGGCTTGGATCCAGCTTTTTGGTGGAAATGTCCAGGTAATGTACATCAATTTTAGAGAGGAACTTAATTTTTTTTTTACCTAGACTATGCTAGTAAATATAGCCAATAATATAGAAAGAAGTAATCTGAAAAAAAAAGTAAAATATAATCATTTTCTTTTATGAACTGAAATTTAAATTTATCTTAAATACCTGAATGGTAATAACTCTTTTCGTGGGTGATTAGAAGGCTCTGCTGGCAGCAGGAGAGTTAATTATCAGTTCTGCTGTGTTTCTAGACTACAGGTTTAGCAGATTGACAAGCAGACAACCAGTTATTCCATTTTGTAGAAGGCTCTGAATCATTTCACTATCTTATGTCACTTTGAAATGAGGGATTATTTTCTTTCCTGTGCTTTACACATGCTGGAAAATTCCACCTGCTGTTATTACCACTATGTACAGCATTTCTCAAAATTATTTCAAGATCTGTTAGAAAAGAATTCTTCACAATTTTTCTCTCCTAGTAGATAAAATGTGCTTGAAACCACTATATGACACTTAGACCATCTGGCATAGAATGACCTATGTCCATATCATTAAAGGGATTTTACTCTCCAAAATAAAAGAGTCACTTTGTCCTCTGTAAAATGTTTCTGGCCTGTACTAACTTTTGAACCATATCTGGGACAGTGCTACTTGATCCATGTCAGGGCATGCCTAAGAAAAGAGACTGAATTTAGGATGTGAAGGCGTTAACAGGCAATAACTCAGGGAGGCAGAACCTCTGCCTTCCAGCCAGTTTTATTTGCTCTCCTGACGAGCACTACCAAAACCATGGTATTTACAGAACACTCCAAGCCAAACCTTGGTCCTGTTGAATGTTACAGGCAGCTGATATCTTTGCCTGTATAAATTGTCCTCATTACACTTGAAAGAGGAGTTCATATGCTTCTCCACAATGCTACCCTAGAAAGTACTTTCACATTTTTCCATCAGGTCTCTCCTGTGTCTGAGCTTTGGCTTTATACAAATTTCTTACCACAGTCAAAATATTTCTTGCTGCCAGAGTAGGAGTAGACTTCATAATGATTTTGATGACACAGAATTGACCCAGAGGATTTGTAATTCTTACTTCAGGAAAGCTTTAAAAGTGTAAACACATTAAAATTTAAACATACATTATTGTGTATTAAAATTACTCATTGTTTTTTGCATTAACAATTTCACAGTGTTGAAAAGCTGATTGAGGTTGCACGACATCATATTGAGAGCTCTAGCAAAATCAAATATGAAATTACTTTAGAAGAAACAGATTTCTTCATCAGTAATGATGTAAGAATGATTCCTGACCCTGTTCCTTCACCACCTGTTCCATGCATAAAATCCTCTGGAAGTAATACCCCAACTATTTCACAACTTACTACGCTTCATAAGCAGTTTCTACAGGTGGCACCTAAAGGTAAGAATTTTTTTTCCTTTTAACTCTTAAAGGACTGCTAGTTACCTACTTAAAATCTACAGTAACTGTTTGGGAGCTACTAAACATTAGTTAGCTATATTGTTGAAGATCATTCAATGATTAAAGATCCCGCTACATAGAAAAGTAAAGTCACAGTACACAATTTTAAAGAGATCAGTATTTTCATGGAACACTTACATAGGCTGTATTATAACTATTTACCATTATATTCTTCCAGTCAATATCTACTTGTTGTTTTGGAAGTTTTGCAAGTGTTAACTCAGATATGTAAGGTTTTCTTTCCTTTGAACGCACATTTATTGTATGCCTACCCATTAATTATGGGAACTTTAGGCTTACCATGCTTGAAAAAACTTACTTGCAAATGTTCCTATGACTGTATAAATGTTAGGAAATAATTTAGGAAAGGCAGTTTTAAACTAAGATGGAAAGTAGTCACACACATATTTGCAGAGTGTTTCATTACTGCCAGTGTAATTTTAGTACTATTGACACTGAGATTGTGAAAAACAATGTATAAACAAGTACTTGCAATTTTGGATCTAACTCTTCCAGTGTAATAAGGCCACAAAGGCACAATGAAGTTGAATTTAATTATTCAGAAATGCTTTTCATGTACATTTATAGAGCAATTCCATTTCCTTTTGAGTATGAAAACATCTTAGGCAGAAAGATGTTTACAGTTTTCCCTTAGAGAAATACTTATCATCTCATCTATAATGTAGGAGTGTGTGTCTGTAATTATTCCAAAATCTTCTGTAGAGACTAATTTTGTCAAGAGTATTGCTTATATAATGCCATGTAAAACTAAACATCTCTGTGTCTGTAAGCATTAAGTAGTGCCATAGCGGTGAAACACAGATACCAGTTTGGGCATTCCCCTTATAAGGTTTTCTTTTGTGTTCAAATCATTCATTCATTAAGATATTTAAAATTAGAAAATTTTGTCTGTTACAAACTTTAATATACTTCACATATTTAAAAAGAACAACTACTTTTCTTGTAAATTTGTAATAATGTACAAGAAAACAATTGAAATCTTTATCTTTCTACAATATTGTCCCTTTGGTAATATTACATTCACTAAAATGTCCCAACATGAGTTGCATGGCTATCCAAAAAAAAGGAAAAATCTTGACTTAGTAGTCATGAGATGGTAAAACAATGCTGTTGCATGGTTTCTGGGACAGTGGTAAAGAATTACTGTTTAAAATAAGGTCCCAAAAAACATGCAACAACATTCTTCTACTGTCTGGTGACTATTAAGTCAAGATAATCACCATTTCAGATAGCTGAATTAGGATGGAAAGCACAAGCTGTGCAAGTCATCTTTAAAACCTTCCATCTCTTCTCTTACACAATTTAAGACAGCATAAATCACAACCTAGATTTCTTAAGGCAACCACTCCCCTTCATTATAGACTCCTTTCTCTCCAAAAGCATCAGGAAGATTTTTCATATCCTTCTGTCGCCCCTTGTTCATTAGATTGGTCAAGAGAGAATACATTCTTCCTTAGTAGTTTCTCTCTGAACAAAAGAGGCAAAGACACTAATGCACCCAACACACTGGCAGTGAAATCGTTGAACGGCGCCTCTAGAGACACAAAATGTAACAAACAAATCCCTACATTGGAGAGCCTGTAAGCAGATCTAGATTTTCTGCATCTTTAAGACATGCTTTTTTATAGGAAGTGCTGTGACTAGTGGATCTACTAACATGCACTTATTTTATTTTCTCTTCTACAGCCTCTTAGGATGTGTGCCCTTATCAAGAACATTAAACTATCTATTAGATCTCATCCCCTTTGATTCCCTTTTAGCACTCTGTTCTTCCTATGACCACATCTCTTGTCACTTCAATTAGCACACATATGGAATGTCTCAATCTTCTTCTGAAGGTGCTTCAGATAATGCAGTTTGGGTATGGTTTCATACTACCAAGCAGATCAAAATAGATTCTATTCCAGTCTTCTGTTCTCCATCTTATGACTGAATCACATAAGGGAATTTTAAATTTTATTATTTTTTCACAGTCATGGTCCTTATGAACCATTCCAGTTTAATTATAGAAATGATTATTTGTCGTGGTTTAACCCCAGCCA